GTCTCTCGAATTGGATTGTCTTGTCACAGTTGTCTATCAGTGCCTGTCGCAATGCCTGACACAATCACGGGCATCGACACAACAGCTTATATTTGTTGAGCCCTCCCCACGTGCATGCTAAGTGCATTTCTTTATTCTGCCTTAATCCTCATGGCAACTCTATGAAGAAGGTACTATTTTTATTCCCATTACAAATGACAGAACAGACTCAGATGGGTGAAGTGTCTTGGCCAGGATGGAGCGGAGAGTCAGAACTGGAACTTAAACCCTGGATGTCTGACTCTAGCACCTGAATTCTTAACCTTTGATTACATGGCCTCATTAAGCATCAGGGTCGAATGAATGAATGCAGGAAGAGGCCCTCCTTGCTTGGGGCTTTCCAATCGCTTCTATTAGAACTGTAACTGGCAGGCCAGGTGAAGGAAGAGCAGTCTCCATGGTAACGAGAGAAGGAGGAAGAAACATTTTCTTCTGAATGAGAAGGCTCTCTCTCTGCCTTTCGGGGAATGGTGGAGTGAGGGGGTGGGAAGAGGATGTGCTGAGCTGAGCAGGCTCCTGTTGAGGGGTGAGGGGTGCAGGGGCTCCAGCTCTTCCTTGAAAGGAGAGAAACTAGTCAGTTGTTCCAAACTGAGGCTTTCTGAAGTTCACCTCCAGCCCTAATCTGCCCTGGGGGCTTCCTGTCCAACAGTAAAGCTTCCACTAGTTTTCTTGGCCTCACAGAACTGTCATTCTGAGGGAAGTAGCAGACATTAAACTGTGCAAAATGCCATGAATGTGGAGTACTAGGGGACTACCAGACGGTATAAGGGGGATGAGGAACCCCACTGGGGGTGGGGGTCAAAGCAGGCTGCCTTTAGCATATGGTACTTTAGCTGAATTAGGGGGACAAAATGAGGGACAATGTTTTCTGATAGAGGGATCTGCAAAGACCAATGGAAGGAGGCCAGAGCATTGCCAGGTTCCCAGACCAGAGAAGGCTGAGCGAGATAGAAAGGGCAGGGGCTGGGGTGGCAGAGGCAGGGGCTGCAGGGCTCCTTGGCCAAGAAAGAAGCTTAGAATTTATCCTGAGGGCAGTGGGAAGCTTTGGCTGAATTTGAAGAGGTTAGTTTGGGGGCCAAGTGGTAACTGGGGATTCGTCTAGAGGCTGTGGCCTGAGCACCTCATCTTTCTCAGCAGCAAAACCAAAATCCCTGGTATCAGCTTCAACACCCCCTTTCCCTCACTCCCCCCTACTTCCCACCTCTGCCAACTGAGGCACAATTGACCAGTTCTACCCCCTCTTGATAACTGCAATCCCTGCATGCCTTTTGACCCTTCTACAAAGGGAAGCAATTGAAAGAGTGGGAGCGTTTTAAATGTGAGACATGATTAGATCTTTTTATTCCATTGTGAATTATACCACAGACAGAAAAATACCTAAATCATAAAGCTTAGTATAGTGAATATTTATAAAGCAAACACTCATGTAACCATCCCTGGGTGAAAAAATAGAACATTGCCAGGACCCCAGAAGGAGCAACCACCCCACCCCTACTGTGTGTGCTCCCTCTCGCCCTGGACTTTATGGAAATCACTTTTATTTTTCTTTGTAGTTTTATCATCTAAGTATACATCTTACCTCCTGCACATGCAGACTGCTTTAGGTTGCTGTGTTGCCACAGAAAGGATGGAATAGAGAAGAAGACCTCTGCATCCTCCACTCCGATCCCCTGCTCCCAGCGGGGCCTAGAGCGGGGCCCTTGGAGGTCCGAGCACTCAGAGAGGAGTTCTGGAGGGGCCCGATTTGCCGCCCCAGTCTGGGTTCCTGGGCCCAGACCAGTTGGCTCAGGCTGGGCCTCCTCTGTGCTAATGGCTTCTCATGGGAGACTTTCAGGGGGGCTGGGTTTTGGTGTCTTGCCTGCTGCTCCAAGGAAGCCTCTCAGCTTCCAGGAGAGGGAGGCAGGAGAGGTCGATTCTCCTGTTTCAGTTGAGAAAATGGAGTTAGGGATAGGAGACATCCAAGGCCACCATGTCAGGAAATAATCAGCGGGATCGGCCCTTTGAATGCTGCCCTATTTGGCTCCTAGTCCAGTATTCTCATTTCTCCCTGTGATAGGGTCCTGTGTCCCCCTCTTTGTGACAAGTCAGTCTAGGGTCAAGAAGAGAAAGGTTTTTTGGCGCTCAGAATCATTACCCTCAGGACCCTGGGGAGCCAAGCCTTAAAAACTTGAACTGGCCACAAGGTAGCGCCAAACACCAAGTCTTCACATGATTTTTCACTTTAGACTAGAAAGGCAATCCCTGATGCCCTGAATAAGCTCTGCCTGGGATCCAGGCAGAAGTCCAAAGCAGAGGGGAGAGCCCGGCTGCCCCCAGCCAGACCTTGGAGGGGAGGCAGGAGTGGGGCTGGGGGAGGGCTCTTTAACTTTCCCCAAACCTACCCCTTTTCTCTTATTCTGTTTCTGTGTTCTCCCAAGCCAGAAACCAGCCCCGCTTCCCTCCTACCACATGTCACATTCTCTTGTGGGCAGATAGAGCTTGGGGAAGAGAGGAGGAGGAAACACGAAATAAGGAAGGCAGGGACTGCAAAGGCCTCAGCACCCTGGGCTGGGGTCCAAAGGGACTAAGAGTCAGAGACCAGGGCCAGTGCCAGGGACCAGGCAGGGCAGAGAGGCTCAGGTCTCCCTTCCTTTTCCTTTTTGGCGACCTGAGGCCTCTCTCCTGCTCACTCGCTGTCTCCTGTCTTCTTTTAGAAAGTTCCAGCTGACTTCCTTCTTGCTTGGGGTGGGACAAAACCAAAACTGACAGGCAATTAGGCTGGGGCCTCGCATCCCCATGAGGAGCAATGACGGCTGGAGCAGAAGGCTAGGCTGCCTGAATGGCCCTGAGGAGCAGCCTGGGGCCAGCTTCGGGCACTACCCCTCCTTACTCCTCTTATTTGCACCCCTCCCAGCAGGGCAAATCCCCAGGTCTCAGCTGCCTGAGTGGCTTCCTGTGGGTGAGATTATCTCAGCCTTGCCTAGCCGTCCCCCTCCACCCACAGCCATGGATGCTGCTCTGCTCCTGAATGTGGAAGGAATCAAGAAAACCATTTTG